CCGCCTGGCGAAATGGCATCGCGTCTGACTACGATGATATTTCGAGCTATTCGGTTGTAATCAGGAGATTGCAGGTTCGACCCCTGCGGTGGTCACTTACTTTGGCATAAATACCTTGCCTTTTTTTTTTTTTCTTCTTTCTATTGAACATCTCCACTGGAATATCTTTCTTTTTGTTTAATTTGTGTGGTTATATATGATATATAAACGCTCATAAAGGCCTCCCAGTGAATCTCTCGCCACAATTTATGTACTGGATACAAGTTTACAACCCAAACACGACCAGGTGAATGGTAGGTAGGTATATGACCAAGTCATGACCATATGATATGATATGGTCTATGGATCTTGCAGAATTAACCTTCTCTCAAGGCCTCAGCATGGAATCGTCCTCATTGAGCCCCAGGCACCCCTGCAAATTCTCATTGCCAATTCAATAATCAATTTGAGTGGTTTTTGTTGCTCCCTGGTCTCAGCATCACCCCTTCAGTAATCCGTTGTAATGAGGGGTTTTTCTCTTTCGCCCCTCCTTCGTTCCCGTCGCTCCCTGGTCGCAGCATCACCCCTTCAGTAATCCATTGTAATACCAGGTAATGCCTCGTTTCAGCTGATTGGCCATTCCGGACAATCCCGAAACGAAAGTTTTTCAAAGGCTCATTTGTAATATAACAACCCCCCCCCCCTTCTCTTTCCTCTATTCGAATCCCCAGAGCTGGTCTCGAAAAAAAGAACCTTACAGTGCCATGCACTCAATACCACAAATATCAACTCGCCCATTACTCGGATTCCACAATGGTTCTTTCACACATCATTCTCACTGCTTTGCTCGCCCTTGGGAGCATCGCAGTCGCTCTCCCTGTTGCCCCAGGGGGCGCCACTGGTACCACGCCAACACCTGCATCAGGCGCTCCTTCACAAGGCAGTCTCGGTAAATACCACTATAAATGTCTTCCTTGTCAATCTCTAGTAATATTTCCACTTTTCTTTTCTTTTCCTCAGTGGTCGGAGATGGTGTTCCTCTTGAAAATCACAACAAAGAGGTTGCTCTGCTTCTGGGTGAAGTAATGCCTCAGGGAAATCAAGCTAGCAACAGCGTTTCACAAACACAATCATCATCTGCTGCCGGAAGCTCATGCAATGTCCCGCCGCTGGCGCAGAGTAACGAGGTTTCATTATTTGCTCGTCCTTCTGGCGAAAGAAAGGCAGGTATGTATACATTTTTTTTTCCCCTAGCCCCCACGCAAATTCTCGACCGACCATTGAACTGCTATGATAATAGATCTATTGCAACGAATGGCTTTGATCAAAGATCACACCAACGTGCACAAAAATTACAAGGCACAAGTCGAACGACTTGCTAATACCTTCAAACAGAAAGAAGAACTTGA